CCATCTTGGAAATACCTACACAGGTCAACATGTGACCGGAAAATTACAAAATTCGATTTTTTTTTTTTTGCTTGGACAAATTATAACATACGCGTATCCATTAATCTATGAAGATATCCATAAATAATCTAAAAAAAGTTGACAGTAACGAGTGATGTTTTTTTTTTCATGTCGTGTCTATACCAGCCTCGTGTCTAAGATGTTGATTGAAATCGGTGTAGGCCTACCATATTCGGTGTTCTTACGATCGGCAAAACATACACACACTGGCATTTTATTTCTAAAATTACGAAATCTTACCTGAACAATTGACCTTAACCAGGGAAATGTCTTTTTCCACGATTCATCAAAACCAGCCTCACGCCGTTTCCGTGTTTCTACACGCTTCCGTTTCTGTGCTGTGCTAGCGGCGATTGTACGTTTTAGCCGGGCGGCATCACCTATTTTTCCTTTACATGTTTAGTCGTATAGATCTCGGTGTTTGCAACTTGAGTGACAATTTGTTCCCCATTGACAGCGTCTGTACTTCACACGGGTTTAACAATGGGACTGTTTAATTTGTCCCGGCAAGTTCAAACCGCCGTGGCGTAGACGGTGATAATTTATGCAGTGCTATTTGTGAGCGGGTTAAATGGATGTAAACAATGCATCCTATTAGCATGGCGGTCCGAGCCCAAGCGTGGCGGCCGGGCGGTATGCTTTGTTCTATGTGGGGAGAACACTGTAATGTATATGCTAATTAACTTAGCGATCTTCTTTCAATAAAACTAACTTTTATTAGCATGCTTGTATAATTTGTTTCAAAATAATATCTTGATAAGTGCAGTTGCGTGTAATGTGTCATAAATTAAAAGCGATTGGCGGTGACAAACATCAGTATTCGTCAGATGAAATACTGAGGTGCGCATGCGCACCGGATGTATCAATTCAGGGAATTCAATTCAGGCTTTTCGAGTATTCTTACTGTTTTTTTCCGCACATAGGTTGTCTTGTGAACGACGTCACTCCCTTGCAATGTACCACATGTGAATATGACGAAGCCTGGGATTGGTTGGCTGCCTCTTCCGATTATGCCTGTGTTACTGACCCGGCGTCGATGAACACTGAGAGTTGTGATACGACCTGCTATACCTGGGGTCTCTACACTGATGACTTATGTAAGTTTACGTTCCAAATTTTCATAATGGCATGTCACGTGAGCTTAATACGAGAAATTCTAGGCCAACAAATAAAAGTACGGGCCACAACGAAATGGATTTTTGTTTTTGTTGAACGGCCACATGTAGTAACTTCGTGTTTCAGCAACATGTATTTTTTTGTTTTGTTCAATGTTAAGATGTAGTATCTCGAACTTAAAATTAAAGAAGGGGAGTCGTCACTTGCGCATGCGTCAGATGGCCATAGCGTGTCATTGTTTACAAACAAGCGTCGACCCATGATTCTTTGCGTTTTTAGCGTGTGTTGTTATCGTCGCTTGAGACCCGCGCATGTGCAAGTGACGACCCTCCCGCTTTTAATTAAGATCAAACAGTGAAATCAAACACCAGGAAAAAAATAATGCTTCTATAGCAAGTATGAGCTGGTGCATTACATTTATTTTTGTCAAACGATATACAGTTAATGGGTAATATTGTTTGTTCATTACCAGCCAATGCGTACAACTTGAAGATGAAGCGTGGTTGTGCGTCCGCAGAAGAGAACAGCACCTGGGCTATGGATGACTGTGATACGTACGACGATGTGAGCGACAGTAACAGCGCTTTCGTGTGCACATGCAGTGACGAGGACAGCTGTAATGCCGACGATTCAGGTAAGAGCAAATCGTCACAGTCGCCGCACAGAGTGTTTAATATGAGACCCGTGCGACGTATCCTCGGGGTGGACATCCCGGCATTTTCACCGCCTGGCAACCATAGCGGGGGAAAAGGCCAAAAACTCCCAGAAAACGTCACTTTGGGATGGTTGTTGAAACCCCCCTGAACAGTGTAACAAGATTAGCCCTACGTGTGTAACATATATAAATTTAGTTGTTCAGGATTACTTCAAAGTTAATATGTTGTTTTCTCGAATTTTCACCGGCTCGACCGGCGTTCTACAGCGGCGCGCACAGAGTCCTTGAAAAAGCATGGTACAGTGGTGCGCGTCTTAGCAACGTGGAATGTCTAGTGACGTAGCTCCGCCGCGTGATGATGTCTCTGGGCTAACTTCGCTGTGTACAATTATAAAGTGTTTTGTGTAATTGACCGATTAAATGTCCATGTGTACCAAATACAACGGACCAAGTTTAGCAAAATCTAACTGGCAAACAGTCGAACAGTGCCCGATTGCCCACTGCTTTAGAGCCAATATGAAAGCCTACTCATAAATAAAAAAACCCAGGGCAATATAAGGATATTGATTTGAAAAGGCTTAATTTTCGAGAAAGTTATGGTTGTATTTTTTGGAAAGTGGCCATTTTGACAGCATTATAACGCTTTCACCGTAGAATGCCATGGCAGAGATATTATGCCATATTTCATATTGTAGCCCGGTGACATAGACGAAAACATTATATGTTGTTAACGATTGGGTGCTTATTGTTGTCCTAAATTATTTCAAAAATCTGGGTTTTTAAATTTCAAAATTTGAAAAGTATTTCTCAATATACGTCACTGTAACACACAAAATAATGCTATTTCATTGTACCATGAGACATTAGCTTCATGATTGTACATAATAAACCAATGAACACTGTCATGCGATTTATGGCCAACTTTCACAAAAATTATGAGTAGGCTTCTATCTTAAACGAAAAGACGGATAGAGGCATAAAACAATTCGGTCAAGTAGATGAAAAATGAAAAAAACAACCTAGTGTTGCTGGCCACGGACCTATTTATTCGTAACAAGGAGTCAATAATCTAACCTCTGTCTTAATCACGTCACTTCTTGCCAGGTTACCACAAATGTTACAAATGTGAGACGGGATTCCTAGAAGATGACGACGATTATAACTGCAGAAGTAACTTGGAAGCACACTACGAACCAACGCCTTGTCTCACTGGACACTCAGGCTGTGGAACCAAGCAACTTTACTACAATAGTTGTAAGTGATGAATTCTATTTATATACAATAAATTTTTGACTGAAATGGAACAAAATATTTCGAAGCAAATGGACGCGGTAGATCTGTCTTAAGTCGCGCCCTCTAACGTCAAAAGAGTTCCATGACGTAAACGGGTGTACTGTATGTCGTTCACATCGTCGCCATTGTTTATGTGTGGTCGTTCGTCAATGTAAAATAACGTGTTTTTTTTTTAGAAATTTACTATATTTCGGAATGAGGAACGACCACACAAATAAGCACAGTAGTGGATTTGAACAATTTGAACAACTTACACCCATCTACGTCATTTTGACGTCGCTAGAGGGCGCATTTTGTTGGTAACATTCTTGGTGGTTTTCATTTATTAGCGGACGGTAAACATTTAAAATTGTATCGTCGGCTGCATTTTGTTGAAGTCCTTCACTTCGTCTGGGCAATAAAAAAAAACAAATCCTAAAGTGACGGCGTTCGCCAGCAGCATAATCCTCTATGGTCATTCCCGTCATGCATTGCTGCCTCGAAATCTACTTCGCGCTGAACACAAGCAATCCAGTAAATTCTACTCAAAAGTCGAACATCAAACATTAGTCTTATATCAAGCGTCATACTTTATTTTGAACGCACCAAAGCGCAATCAGTTCTGCAGAAACTACATTGTTTCAATGAACGAATACTTAGTTACGTACTGCATACAATGTAACCTCGTTATAAAGAAGTCTTTAGGAGATTAGTTTGTTATAGTGAAGTGTTCACTATAATGAATCACATAATACATTGGGTTTGTTATAGTGAAGTGTTCACTATAATCAGAGGAACATAATACATTGGATTTGTTATGAGCGCGAGAAATGCTATGCCTTATACCAGGAAATTCAATATAGTGGTGTTCATTATAACGAGGTCACAGTGTTTTAGTTCATCCACATGCAGTATAAAACGACAATATTGCAAATCATCGCTGTACATGTTCTCATAGACCATATCACAATTCCAAATTATAGTGCATTGTGGGATAGTTATGTCGGGCTGCAGTACGAGGAGGGTTTCCTGATTGGTGGACTCATGGTTCAATTCAATTTGAATAAATTAAGATCCTATTTGAGGTCTTTTTTTCAAAATATAATTTAGTTCATGTTTTCTTCATATATTTTATTCTATTTGGATTTATTTGCTGGTATTTTGCTAGTAATAAAATACTAGCAATAATAATAAAAAAAATAGTATCTTATTCAAATCAGATTGGGTGTGATTCGGTCAAAACTATCCCACAATGCACTATAATTCTGAAGTGCGATATAGGCAATATCACCTATATAGATCTACGGCAGTTTTACCCATATAAATAATGACACGATGTAAATCAATTTATTTCAGGGCTCTTTCAAGACGATACTAAACGATATTGTACGGACGACACGACAACTGACAGTTGTACTACCGATAGCAATGGTTACGAGACATGTATCTACTATTGTGGTGGGGATTCGTGTAATAATGGTGGCAGTGGCGCCAACAACGTAATCGTCTCGACGACTTTGATTTTAGCATTGGCCCTAGTGGCAAATTTGAGTCTGCGTTTCTGGTAAAATCGCGACGAAGCGCCCTCTCTGTTATCGTTTCAGTCAATGACCTCACGGTGTGCATTTTTTATTTGTGTGCATTGTTTACAAACAAGCGTATACCCTTTGCGTTTTTAGCGTGTGTTGTTATGGTCGCTTGGGACTCAATTCCCGCGCGTGCGCAGGTGACGACCCTCCCACTTTAACCGAAGACTCTATGAACTATGCACACCACAACCTTGGTCTTATTGTTTTTTCAGTTTATGTTCTTGGCAAAGGCAATTGATATGTACATATTCAAACTTTTGTCTTTGCGGGTACTATCAATAAATGTAATAATAGTGGATTTATAATAAAAATGTATAATATTTTTGTGATTAACAAATTCTCTGTTATGTATACCTATACTAGTACACTGAAGTCGACAAACCTGTGTGTATAAAATATATGAAATACGTCTAAGTGAAATCCAAACGAGGCGATTGGATTGGTCATGTAGGCGCAAATATCAGTTAGACACCTCACAAACAGCCAAATCTTTGACGTCACTGCACGAGCTCACACAATGTTTAACTGCCGTTTTTTGTTGTTTATGTATTTGATTTTATAAATAATTTATAACGTGTCACGGTACATGGTTTTGCTGATTTCAAAATACGTAATGCCACATAACACTGAACAAGTTCCAGGAGGTGCTATGTAAAGAATGAAAATATTCTGTCAAACAGAACAAAATCTGAGTCAAATATCATGCATGCATTGACTTTAGGCGAGGTCGCGTGAGTTGCGCCCTCCGCGGTGCTTTAAATCCAACTCAATTGAACTCAGTGGAGTCTGACGCCGTTCGCCCGGTGAGGGCGCTACTCGCGCCTATATGGCATTGACTTGTTCTTGATAGCAGTTTTTTACATCTAAATTAATATTTTATTAAATATTCAGGACTAAAAATTACCCTGTCCGTTCTAAGCTGCCAACATACCGCCATTTTTATTTCCACCGCTCGCAAGTCTCAGTAATCTGACTCGTCTGTATATTTGACATTACGATGGCTGACAATCATAAAATATATATTCGTAGCTTTTCATATTTCATGAAACATT